ACACATACCGCATACTAACATCACCAACCCAGTGCTGGCACCGCGCCCGTCAGGCGGAAGGCGACCGCATCACCGAAGACGGCCTCTGCCTATCCATGTACCGCGCTCTGAAGTACCAATGCACCTGTGTCGCCTTCATCAAGAACTTTGTCGAGCCCGGCTGGCCCATCCAGGCCGCCTCCGGCTACGACCTCGCGAGCGTCATGCACTACCCTAGTCGCAACGGCTATGCAAAGCCAGATTGCAACGACAATGGTGTAGACTGTCCCATCCAGGCCTACCTCGACTGGAACGACCATGGCGAGGGGCTTGGGCTGTTGGAACGCGCTACGAAGCCGAGCGAGATGGATATCATATGGGTTAAGCAGAATTATCCTTGGAATGTGGATGCTTGAGTTCTGGGTGTAGAATCAATCACCCTCGACGCGTTTAGAGGTTGATAGAACCGTGCATAATGGTTAGAACGGCTGTCGCACCAAGGCCTCTCTACAAGAATTAGATTGATGTGCTTGACGGCCATAATACATTACCGATCGCGAAAGCGCCCGTTGCCCAGGAGTGTGGTATAGTCATTTTGCACTGTTTGACCAAAGCATGCAACGACCGTTTTTTCGTCCGTGAATGCGGCGTGCACATTACCGGACTGTCGCTCGCCAGAGTGCGACAGTCAGCTTGCAGAGCCGCATCGAGGCTGTGCACCCACCAACCCTCAACAAGACGACCGCAGCCTGCAGCAACCGTTCACTCGGATCTCTCTCGTGTCGCAAAGATATCAGTGGCTTGCGCAGCCACATGAAAAAGTTTTTCACTGCGTTTGTGTTTCAAAATCTGTCCGGTGCTCTGTCGCGCTAACCAGTGGGCAGAGGTTCTTAGAGATGCGATACTTCTCTCTTTGTAGAGTATCTCCTCGCGTATAAGTTATATAGAATATAGAAAGTATAGTTAGCTTATTATCTTTAAGTTACCTCTAAGTTATTATAGTACTATAAAATAGTAATACTAAACTATAAGCTTTAAATTCTATGTATATAGTAATAAGTTAAAAGAGAAAGTATATAAAGCGTACTATAGTATTTTTATTACTTCTATAATATATATATAATTATACTACTTATACTTTTCTTTTTTATAATAGTAATTATTTTTATAATTATCTACTTTAATATCTACGCTTACTTAGCCTACTTTATAACTTTACGTTTTACTAGTAAGCTTATTATAAGAATACTTAGTATTTATTAGTAACTTTACTTATTACTTTTAGCTTAAAAAATATAAAATATAAAGTTATACTTACTTTTTCTAAGTACTTAAATAAGTATATATAATACTTATTTATTAGATATACTACTTACTACTTATATAGAGATAACTTTAGTAGCTAAAGCTTTTTTTTTAGCTAAGAAATTAGCTATATAAAGCTTACTCTTTTACTTTTAATAATACGCTTATATACTTACTTTAGTAGAGACTACTTTTATAAGCTAAATTAGCTTTTATAGTAATAATAAATAATATATAAAAACTAATATTATTTTTATACTTTATAGTTTATAAGTTTTAATATAGTATAAGGTTTAAGCTACTTAAACTATCTTAAGATAGTAGGAACTAGTATATAAAAAGTAATATTACTTAGTATAAAAACTAAAATTAAGTAATAAATTATATTTTAAAATAAATTTAACGTATTTAATTATATAGGGCTAAAGCTAACTAGTAGGCATGCAGTAACCTTTTTTAAAGACAAGGATTGTTGCATATATAGAGTGCAGAAGGCATGCGTTCGGGCTGATAGACATCCAGCGAATGAGAAGGAGGAACGTGCGAACGATGCAGCGGTCGAGTGGATTTGTCGGTGTTCCTGGAGTTGTCTTGGGTGAACGGTCAGCAGGGACTGTGGGATGCATAGTATTACACATCAAAGCCTGCGACGGATAGGCTTTGACCATCGTACATGCGCTGAATAAACACGGAGCGAATGAAAGCGAGAAACGTGCAAGAAATGGAGGGTGCTGCATACCTTGGTTTTGTCTTGGACCAGAGCTTCCTCGCACCTGCTGCCGCCTGGACCATGGCCGCATCGCGATTCGGACACCGGACATGTGACGACCCTGGGTTGATATTGCCGTATATGCGACAACTTTGCGATGATACAACAGACCCTCCTACGTCACTGGCGCTTGAAGCGCTTTGTTATACTTGCCCTGGGTCAGTGATGAAGGAGCCGACTCGGCCGAGGCGTTGTTCGCGAAAAGGCTGACCGCAGTGCATTCGGTAGCTCAAATATGGTACAGCGATCTGCAGCTTTGTACCACGTCGATAACGCAGGACGTAGGACGCAGGTGGATGGTCGCACTTTCTCAATTTGTAATGCAGGGAAAGTGGAAGACTTGGTCAGATCTTGCTGAGAAATTCTCCCACAAACCGTGCGACTATACACGCAGCCGATCGACGGTCACATGTCTCAGTTCATACCAATGGAGGTGGTTACCGTTCCAACTCGCTTGATCAGCGATTGGAAGGATTGGGCATACTCCCGTGCGCATTGCCCAAGCGTCGACATGAATGACAAACCCTCGTCATACCATCGCATATTACTGGCACGCTGAAGGTCGGAAAAGTTTCGGTCGAGTAGCATTACCAATGTTGAAGGCATTTGCATGCCGTAACACGACGCGTACCCAGCCGTTGGCTTTTGGGGGCCGCATGCGAATGCGACAGCGTGAAGTCACGTCGTGCGCACCTGGCCCGTGTTATCGAATAGGCTTTTTGACATCCCAAGAGTTCCCCCGGTTAGGCCTGGGCCCACTGCTACTCCAGGAACGCTGTGGCACATCTTACACCGATCAGCAAACTCTGTTCCTCTTATGGTCTGGCTTGTGGCTAGTGCGGTGAGCCTTACAGCCTGCGCTACTCGCGCCCAGCATCTACGTATACCTCGTTCGATGAGACAGAATGGCATTTCATCCGCCGATCGGGACGACTCCCTTCTGTCTTGGAAATCGTGCGTGCAGATTGCATACGATGACCAAGAAAGACCCAGAAGCTGCAGAATGATGAGGTTACACGGTCAAAGTACGAGAAAAAAGAAAGTATGAGCATGGATTGCTTGAGCAAGTGGCCCCTGCTGTCAGTCAGCCATCCCTGGGCGTTGCTTGTCCCTACTGAGGTGTGTATGTACTGTCAAATTCACTCACCACGCTTGGCGCGCTTGCGTGTACCCAACTCCTGGCTTGAAGTCGCGCAAAGCGAGATAGTAAGACGCCGTGATAGCAATGGGGGCGGATGAAGCAGACTTCGTTGGCCGGCCCTGACTAGTGACGCTGTCAGACGCACGCTGAGAGCCTCGAGTCGCTGGCCCAGCGGCAAGCGCGGGGCTGGAGCTCTCCCCCAGGGCCCACGCGTTCTTTGCTCGATGACCCGTTAACGTACGTGCTATGCACATCAAAGGAGTTCCAAGGTTGCGACGCGCAGCAGCCGACAATGTCAAGATTCAGCCCCCCGATCTCGTGCGTTTCTCCTGCAGCGCCCGGCCGGTGAAGTTTTGAAACGGGCTGCCAGACGGTCGCAACACGCGGCTCGGCAACATCACCACGCCCGACCCTCGCCCACACCTATCAGGAGTCGCAACCCTCTCGCTTCTGCCGAACTGCCCACTCCCCGTGCAGGGCTCACAGCCGTCGCAGCTGAGATGAGTTCCCCTTTGTAGCAATTATGACGCTTTTGCCGGTGGTTAGCTTGGCGAACCTACCCCAGGACGACGTCTTGGCCATGGTTAACTCCTCGATCGGGAAAGGGCATATGCCTTGGTCGTGAGGCTTCAACGTGGTCGTGAGGACGGCCGCTGTGACAGTCATAAGTGTGCCATGGACGCGTATGCGCAATACCGTCTTGCTCATTTCTGCGGATATACTGACTTGCTCACTTGCCAACCTCGTTCTCACCTTGCACATCAATACTATATAGTCGCCTTGTACATCGAATCCTCTCTCGACAGCTATTTCACCTTGGTACTCTATCCCGAGAAGAGACTACATAAACTCGGACACTCAACACATTCTCACTCAGACATCGTTCTTCCATCCACCTCACTACACTCGACTACCACCCAATTTCTTTACCTTGACACCCAACCACATCCAAAGCCCATACGAGATACCCGCCACCGTGGTCCATGTCTCGCAACAGTAAGTCAGCTTACCGTCCCGTCCACACCTCCGACATCTTTCCTTCTCCGACACCACCGGCGAGCTGCGCCTCGGCTCAGCCCATTGTACCCCTTACGGTCTAGCGTACCGAAACATCCGCACCATTGATGTCTTAATGGACTTCCTAACTTTCTCGATCTTTCAGCTGACCCACCTGTTCCCAGCCTATCCCTACGCCGTCAAGCTCCCGTTCCGGCGCTCACTCGCCTGCATCGGCATCCCGAGTCATCGCGACGCGCTTGCCGTTTACTTCCACTGGGTGCGACAGCGTTATTATCGCGCGCAAGATGTCATGGGCGATGAGCTGGCCTCGTCTGTGAGATCAGTGGTTGGTTCATGCGATGCATCGCGCATGGATGACTACGATCTTGCGGAGCCTCGGTCGAGGGTTCAGAGCGATACTGAGAGGTTCAGGGTCGACCTCCTGAATATCGGCGCGGGCTTTGAGGGCGAGGCCGTTGCGCTGGCATATCCTGGTGAAATTGACGTGAGGGGCTGAGGGGCACAGCTCTGGAGGCTTGGGAAGCAAAGTGAGGGGCACGACGGGCGCAATGGGCAGGCACATGGGCATAGCGAACCGGCGTTTTGGAAGCGCTTATACTGGCAGCGATGAGTCTTTGCATTTGGATCACGGGTCACGATTTTGGCCATGTGTATAACATTTTGACAAATCTTGGATGGATAGATAAAGGATGACATGTACAGCCTCTTTGTAGTGAGCGTATTGGGTTACAAGCATTTCTCAGATTGTACATTTGCATGATCGTACCCAGTCATGCTGTTCCCCATCTAGTAGAACAGCTCCTGAAGTTGATCTGACCTAACGTACGCGATGGTCGGATCCTGTGGTATCATCATTTGTCGCCGCCCCGATCGACCTGGCTCGGGATTCCACCCAACCTGGCAACTCGGTGTTGTGCAGACTTGGGCCCTTGCTATGTATCGACCGGCGACGTGTGATTGCGTGCAGAACTCTGGTCGGTCGGTGACGGGCTTTCGTTCCGGTGCCAACCCACATATCAAACACTTCAGCTTGATGATGCGGCCAACATGAACGACGGCAGTGTTGATGAGGGTGTTTTTTGACTTAGACACTATCGGCTGTATCACCCAGCTACCCTGTGGGCTTCCCTGACTGGGACGCGCTGAGTTCGTTGTGGTTGGTTGTCTTGCGTTAGCGGCTTCTGATGGGCGGTAGAAGTAGGTGTTGGAGGTTTCCGCGAACATGGTGGGTCGGGAGAGAATCTTGCCGCTTGGGAAGGCATCGTCTGACTGTGCTGCCTGGATAATAGCTTGGTTGTTCAGGCCGTAGTTGTCTAAAGGCACGTTTTTGTCGTATGATACGGTTCGTTGATATCGCAGCGTCTTTCGGGTGGGCCTTTTCTTGAGCGCCTCTACCTCGTATGCTCTCTTCGTTCGTTCTATGTCTGTGGCGGTCACGAGAGCTAGGGATGGAGGGGGCTGAGAGATCGTCGACTTGCGCTGGGTTGGGCTTCTTCCGCTCTTCTCATGCGTTCTCGCTGCTCGGGCTTCGAAGTACCCTGCTTTGGTGTCTACGCCGCTCAATGCCGCAGCAATGTTCAAAGCTGCGTCGTACTGTCGACCGACTGCCGTGGTTCGGTTCCTTAGTAGATATTCCGGATGCCAGGCGTACACGACGACGAACAGAATCTTTTGGGCGTTGTTGCGCACTATGCCCATGAGCGTCGTGCTGCCGCATGATAGTCGAACTGTGATATTTTCCACGTTGTGTCGCTCATGGAAGCGCTTTCTGTTAAAGGCGCCAAATACTAGTAGGACCTTCTTCGACAGCGACTGACATCTGTAGGCAAATTCGTCATGCAGTTGTTTCACTTCCTCTTTCCACCCGTCGGCAACATTCGCGAGGTGACGTACGGACGCCGCGCTCAGACGGCGGAAGTACGCTTCAAACCAATAGGTGTTGCTCGCCACGAAGCCCTTCTCGATGAGGATTCGGATGCAACGGTTGGTCGCGTCTAGCGTCTGACCGTCGTTGAGATGCTTTGTCGTGAACGTTGGGTAGTGCAGCTGCAGATGCAACAGGGACGTCGCATATCCTGACGGTGAGACGATATGGGATTCTACCATGCCGCTTCGCCTCGCCTCTTCCTTTTTGAATGATTGGAATAAGCCGGGCATGTTGAAGGTATCCTGTCCGTACTCCAGGTCATCAAAGGCTGCTTGCTTTGTTGGCCTCGTGTCCTTGGCTTTTGGTGCTCGCTTCCTACTGATAGTTAGCGGCTATCGGTAACGATCATAGGAAAGCGCATCTCACCTTTTTGGCTGTGGGTCTTCTGCCAGCCGTACACCTTGTCCACTGAAAGACAGTGTAGCCTGTCTCTTACGGTCGCTGGCGGTCGACATACCTCGGCGCTCGAATCGAGACTTACTCGTGGACTGTAGGACGAAGATGCGAAGGATGAAGCTTGAGCACGACCGCACTTACCGTTAGGCTGTTGATGTGACGCCATCTCTCTAGCAAGCAGGCGCGTTGGGGGCGTATCCTGTTGGAGCAGAACGCGACTTCCCTCACTTGGGCGGGCACAGAATGCAGCAGGCGCGCGCCCCATGCTTGTTGGACAGCCCACCAGCTCTCTCATGATCCCTCTGTAGTGAGTTCGAACCACACGCTGAGTCGCGAAACTTATAGCAGTGTTGCGTCCAGCAGCAGAAGACTGGCATGTGGCCGCTCCCGAGCTACAGAAGTGAATGATGCGGTCGGCATTGGGCAGGGCCACGTGAGCCCGGGAGCTTGCACATGTGTACGTGTAACAGCTGTTTCTTTCGGCCATATCTAGAGCGTAGTCTGGCCAATGGCGGAAGATGAAAGGTCTGCTGGCGAGTTGTTTATCATTCTTGGAGTTACCCAAAAGTTATTTCTTTGTTAGTCCATGCTGCTTTACAGATACCACGTCCTTCGAATCAACTATCAGTTTTTCAGATGCCCATACTTTAGATTGCGAGAATTGGCTACAATTGATGGCACTGTGTTGTTCGCCAGGCGAATACGCGCTATTCTATCCTATTTCCTACGCTCTAAAACCAGTGCCAGCTGTATACAACGGGCTATTGCGAGTACTTCCAACAAGGCGGCGACCGTTGAGTACCTCCCAGGTGCCGTCTTGCTGCCCCTTCAGTGGACTGTTACAGCGTTGTCGACGGCTCCTTGGAGAGAATTACGAACGCCAGCTACTACGTCTTTGGGACATTGACCTACACACCTAATATGAGTCACAGTGAAACTCATGTCTCCAACTCTAGACAACATTTCGGGCAACGCACACAACTATACCTCTATAAATTAGCAACTAGCTTATCACGAATGAAGCAATCAACGACATATCAATCAACGGCTAAGACGAATAACTGCGTTTAAACGCAGCCCAGTCCTCCAACACACCTGCACCAATGTCTCAACCGACCGCACTGCCTATAAGGCCAAAACCCACATCAAAAGCCCTTCCACCATTAACCCTCTCCACCTTCCGCCAACACTTCCCCTCCCTCCCACCATGGGCCGTCTCCGCCTTCTCCGAGATCTACAACGCAGTCCAAATCTTCAAGAACCCCCAACTCGCCACCATAATCCCGCAACGCCGACTCTCACCCGAAGCCCGCGCGTTGCTCAACATCGCCATCCTGACCATGCCAGGATACAAGTACGGTGATAACAAAGCGCCGATGCTGGATTGCAGTATAAGTATACGGGAATTGTTCGATGATGAGAGGAGCTATGAGTATGGACGGGAGCAGGTGGTGTTGGTGAGGTTAGGGAAGGAATGTGAGAAGTTGTGGGCGGGGAGATGGGAGGAGGATGCTATAGAGGGATGGACTGGGGATGTTGTCTTGAATCGATAGGCTGGTAGGGTGTATTGGCTAGCATCCGTCGCTTTCATGATTGATGTAGTACTGCATATGTTCGTCTAGGTGTGCGACAGATGGCCATGCAACAAATGATATGCACATGTATTGGCTGCCGCTGCTTCACTGTCGAGTGCACGTTCTGTCAGGTCGCGCGAAACCTACTGCGATGCGGCGAAGTCAAGTCATACGGTGGTCGTTCGTAGAGGTAAGCGTCAAATTCGGGTCTCTCAGAGTATTCCAGCTCGATCTGATAAGATCAGCGTATACAAGTGACTGATTACTCACGCGACGAGCAGTGTTGGCAGGAGCTACCCCTCATGCATCCCTGTCGCTTCCCGAAGTCATCCCTCTTCCGGACAAGCCTGGGCGCAATAACTCCACGTCCACGAACACTTTGTGCTGAGCTCTCCAGGTAGTAATAAACTCACCGCGAGATAATCTAAAGTCACCACCAAGTCAGTCACCAAGATACAACTGCCGCAATGGCCACGTCACAGCAAAGCCTAGACCACCTAATCCTCTTCGTCCCCGCCAACCCAACAACGCAACTGCCCGAGGTCCCTCCATTCTTCTCGGACAACTTCAAACTCACCCCAGGAGGCTTCCACGCTGACGGCGCGACATCAAACGTCTTGATTCTTCTCGCAGATGGGTGTTACATCGAACTCATCTCTTTCGTCAACCACTCCCTCGCGCCTGAGCATTGGTGGGGCCCAGACGCCAACTTCGTCGGCTGGAAAGACTGGTGCCTGACCAACTCGCTTTCGCCCGAGAAGAACTACGACGCGGTGATAGAAAGTCACTCAAAACCGATCAAGGGAGGAAGAAAGAGGGCCGATGGAGTCGATGTAGCCTGGGCTGTCACCTTCCCCAAGGGAGAGAAGGGTGGACAGAGTATTAGGGGCAAGGTGCCATTCTTCTGCCACGATATCACTCCTCGGGGTGTCCGCGTTCCAATCGACGATTCGAAGACGACTCATCCATGCGGCGCGATTGGGGTCAGCCGACTTACTATCATCGTGCGCGACCTGGCCCTGCTAGAGGAGACTAGAAAAATCTACGACGCCGTCATCGGTAGTGCTGGTGAAAAGGTTGATGGAGGATTCGAATTCAAACTCAGGCGCGTGCATGAAGTGGAGACTCGTAACACCGGTGCAAAGATTATACTGCGCTTGCCAAAGAACGAGGAGGAGCAGGAACGCGTTACAATTAGGGGATTCTGGTATGGCGACGTAGTCCTAATAACAGACGCGAAGGCCGGAAAGTTTGGAGGCTCCGCGGAGAGGCTGGATAGTGGAGAAAGAAGTGGCGGGGTTGGCGGGGTGTGGCTCGAGCATGCCTGAGCGGACGGCGGTGGATATAAGAGTGGAAATCAAGGGATCAGTGGGACCGAGATTGAGGCTGAACTGTGATTTGGCGTATTTCGTATTGCCTGCCTGCGAAAATACATGTGCCGAATGGAAAAGGCCGCCGGAAGATGCCAACCTTGAACTTGGTCTGGGGTGGCGACCTGTGCTATAGCAAGGGATGCACCTGCAGGCCGGCGAAATGAAACCATGCTTGCACACACCCGTGGTACTACTGTGCTGCGTTGGCACAAAGCGCAGATCAAAGTGGTTATATCGCGCAGAAGCGCCATGGGCTTGTTCCTAGCCATGCAAGACTATATTCGCATTCGCAGTCGGGAGGATTTATGGATGTGTAAAGCTAAAGGTTGCATGTGCCTTAGCGGCGCTAGGCCGCAGCCGGGCAACCGAGGGACAACCCAAATTTGGCAGCTGCGATGATTGGCGGGTGCTGTCCGGTGGTTTGAGATGACTTGATCCACAAAAGATCGGGTTATATCCTTAGGTGGGAGTATGGTGATGCGCGTGTTTGTTCAAGACGTGGCTCACTAACAAGGTGCAGTCTAGGAGATACACCATATGCTGCCCGGTCACGATAAGGTTATACAGCATAGTGCATGACTCGGGTTATTTGTGCGATGGCACTGCAGAGGTACATAGAAGGACGACGAGGACGACAGGACGGCGATCTGGAGGCGTTGATACGGCAAAAGAAAACACGCCAGCGCCCCAATCTTGGGTTCCTCGCTTACAAGCAGCGAGATGTCTAGAGCGAGAGCAGTAATTCTTCTCGGCGGAACTCGAATCGAAATTTTGAGGATGGCGGGGCTAGCTCGGACCACTGATAGCGGGCACGTGTCCCAAGGTTTGCTTTTGTGCTAAGGTGACAAAGTGAAGTGCCGGCAGGATCGCATTCGAGGCAAATTCCATGTCGACCTGTCTGGTCGCGCATGGGAAATTGCTGTGATGCAGTGTGCGAGTGGCCAGCGACGGCGGGATGCCGCTGAACGGCGGAGGGGACGACCGGCAGAGGGGCCCGAGGGCTAGCGCCTGCGGATCTGGCAACGTCGACGCCGTCTACTTCTCTGCCCGCGCCCGTGGTCGAGGAAGTCACTATATGGGGCGCGGCGGAACCTTCGTCTCGACACTCGCCCCGTGGCGCGCCCCTGCAATGGCGGCGCACGCAGCAGAACCAGGGCAAATGCGCGGGCACGATGAGTATTGGCCATGCGGACTTGTGCACCGAAGCCAATCACTACGAGGTCGCTCCCGCCAAGGCGCAGCGTTCATCCCCAATCTTTGATTCCCATGACGCAGGCGGTTATTTTCATAAACACGATGCGAGATGCGCTGAGATGACTCTTGTTCCCTTACCACGCAGCGTGAGTTTTCGCGAGCGGCCCGATGCAAGACGACAGGCGACCTGGACCCCCTCCGGCTGGTCACCCCTCGGCCGGTCCCTACGGGTCGCAGTTCAAGGTCGCCATTCCACGCTTACCACCCCGACGCGCCCCGCCACCCACCACGCCCAAGTCGCGCCAGAGGGACAGAGTCCAGCGGGCATGTCGCAACTGTCACAAGCGGAGTGCGTTGCCATTGTCTTTTCCAACATCATTCACTTTCTCTCGACCTCTAACACACGCTAGAGATCAAGTGTAGCGGCGGCCTCCCCCGCTGCAACTACTGCGACAAGACCGACAAGACATGTGTATACGAGCGCCCCAGGAAAGACCGGCTGGCGACGTCAGTTGAACGACCTGATTCCAAGTTCTGAAATTGACTCCGCCAGTGCCAAAGACCGCAACCATGCCCTCGTCTCCGTCCTCAAAGACCTCAGCTTGCGCGTCAGCGACGATGACCGACGTCGAATTGAAGATGCCCTCCAGGATGTGAGTACAGGACCTGCCAGCCGGATGCCACTGCTCAAACTAATACCGCCAAGTCAGATGACGAGGTCGGGTCGCCCGTCTCCATATCCTCTTCTTCGCGAGCATCCGCCCCTCAACCATTCTCTCAGCACTCGCGCATGCACCCCTTTGCCCCGTCCTCTAGCTATGTGCCGCTCGGAGCAGAAACCTCGCCTACCTCGGATCAGTCACCCCTTCCTCGCCTGGACGGTACTGTCCCGGAAGACTCTGGCGACGAAGACGGTGGCGAACTGCCCAATGTAGTCGAAGCAGGCTTCTTGGGCCAGATCTCCGAAGTACAGTGGCTACAGACGCTCAGGAGCAGAGTACAAGCTCTCGATACCGTTCTGCTTGGCCCACCTGACACCACTGCGCCACTCTCTCAGCCACCCTCGCCTACTTTCACTGCGTCACCCACCTCCCATGCCGCGACCCCGCTCGAACACATCGCTCTCACCAACTACTATCTCGATGACGAAGGCATCAAACTCACAGACTGTGGGAATCCCTTTGAGCTGCCGCCAGAACACACTGCAGGACTGCTATTCCAGTGCTTCACCCAGACCATCCAAGGCTCCTTTCCCATTCTCCCCCCAACTATAGAGCACCAGCTGCAACAGTACTACACCCTGGTTCGGAACGGGCAGGCTATACATTGCCCGGAGAAATGGTTTGCGCTGGTCAACCTTGTTTTTGCCATAGGCGCCAAGTTTTCACATCTCATCCAGGCTGAATGGCGAGCCGACGAGCTGGATCACATCGTCTACTTATCGCGTGCCTTTCAATTGCTTAGCATGAATGACACAATCGTTGTCCTAACGACTCCGGATCTGCTCACAACGCAGGCAAGTCTGAGCTGCTGATCTTGTTTGACTATGCTAAACGTTTCAGGCTGCTGGACTCTTTGCGATTTACTACATGACTGCTGGCCATGTAAATCGGTACGTATGCGGAAGATCTTTGCTTGTGACTACCTAGTTCATCCTCTCTTCGTCTCTTGCTTCAATCAATGTGCTTGCATGCTAATATTATGTCAGGGCTTGGGTAATGGTAGGCATGGCGATGCGATCGGCCTTCTCGCTCGGCCTTCACGTGCAACAAGATGATCAATCTGTCTCCGCCGCCCGAAGGCAGAGCATGGTCTGCACCTGGTGGAGTCTACATGCACTGGAGAGCATGCTGAGTTCGATTACGGGCCGGCCGAGCATTATACCCAACGAAGACATCACAACTCCGCTGCCCAGTGCCGTGAATAGCGATCAGACCCAAAGCGTACCTGTGTCCAATCTCGACTTTCTCGATGCGGATATCCACCTGAACCTCCTGACCCAGCAAATCATCTCCAATCTCTACACACAACGTAGATCTGCGCCATCATGGGACTACGTCCAGCAAATGACCATATCTCTATGCGAACACCTTGACAAGTGGGCATTTGAATACATTCCCCAAGTCCATTCAGAAGATAGGAACCCAGCTCGCATGCAACAACGCGACATCTTCTTGCTCAAACTTCAGTACTACCGACTAAAGGTTCTGACGACTCGTCCCTCACTCCGCCGTATTGAACGCTGTTTTCAAGCCGGAACCGATGACTTCAATTCGCTCGATCAGTCTGTGGCAGAGTCGTGCGTACAAGCAGCACGGGATGTGGCATCGCTGTTGGCGAACGAGCCTAATGTCAGGAGTCTATATGAAAAAGGGCCCTGGTGGACAATCGTCCACAACAGTATGTTGACACCTCAAATCCCCATGTCACCGACTGACCAACTCATTACAGTCATGCAATCACTCGCCGTTCTCATGATAGCCATATCCTGCCCCGATCACTTCCGCGACACACTACAAGCGTCTGTGCACAGCACACGGCAACTCGTCACCTCACTCCGCAGCATGTGCGACACAAACATGTTAGCGTCCCGCGCCTACCAGGTCGTATATTCGATAGTCAAGACGTCAAAACCGTACGTCTGGGCCGATATAGCGGACGCCTTCCCAGACGAGGTCATCATGGTGCTGCAACAACCAGCACCAGCAAAGGTCGACCCGCAATATCTACCATGGCCGGACAACGACCAACCGGCTGAAGCCTTGTTTCGTTATGAAATGGACAACTTCGGCAACTACCACTTTCACATGTTATGAGAACGGGGGACTACCTTTCGCGGCAAAACTACTGCAGCACCGACTGCACACACAATGATGCGATTGGTGGTGAACCCGGGACACCATCGTTACCCTTGCGGCATCGGTATTCAATTCTACGCTAGCGGCCGCTTTACCACAACGTATTCTCTAAAGGAACCCCACCTCGTCATAATCGGGGCCAAAAGTTGGAAACGGGATAAGTTCGCATTCTAGAACACGACCGGCTAAGAACGGCACAACTGGATACGGACGAAGTAGCCACGTTGTATGTGTCTGCCGGATGAAGTCCAACACTCGTCGCTACCGCAACATGACTTACGCGTGTTATACCCAAATACTATCTCGAAGAGCGATGCAAGATGGAGGAAAGATGTTGTATCATAGCATCAGCATTCGCTTGCGCGTGTCATATTATCGGCCCGCATCGCATCGACGCGTTCGCGGGGTTAGGAAGAGGTGAACTACCCAAGTACATAGTATGTCGTTCACGGAACAGTAATAGCAGGATAGTAATAAAAAGCAGTATTGGTTCATGACCAATGCATCTCCTTTGATGCAACAGCGGGGAATTTTCACATGGAGGCATACTGACAATATCCACGTGACAGTTGTTTTGCTGTAGGGATGCACTAGCAGGAGACTATTTAGGTAAACCCCTATAGTCTAGCCCCATTGCATTACTTCAGTCTTGCTAAAACCCAACAGGGCAAATCCAGTACAGAACTTCAAGACAGTCTGGCAGGTCTCAAGCCAGCTCCTCCCGCAGCATCTCCCATCTTCTCAGTATCAACCTCTCCAATGACGCTCTTCAGCAACTCGGGCACAATCTGCGCCGCATCGCCTTGGAAGAACCAGTCCCCGTCGTACAGTCCTCCCGCAGGAACATCATTGGCGTCCATGTTGATAATGGCAACCCTCGCCCCCTTGCTGCGCGCAAGATCCACATACCCGGCGGCAGGATATACCTTCGCACTCGTCCCAATGACCATGATGAGGTCGATATCCTCTTCGTCCTCGATAAACGCGTCGACATCCTCCATAACCTTCTTAGGCAGTATTTCGCCAAACCAGACTACACCCGGACGTAGCAGGCCGTTCTTGCATTCGGGGCAATGGGGGAGGTGCTTGTAGTCGAGTTCTGGGATCTCGACATTGATGTCTGAGATGTCTAGTTCGCGGGCGGCAAGGGCAGCGGTTGTGGTTGGATCGGATTCGTCGGTGGGTATGGCGAGAGCGGGCACAATGGGGTCGGTGTAGTTGTTCCGCTCCGAGTAGTTGCAGAAGAAGTCTGAGCACTTGAGGTCGAAGAGGGAGCCGTGCAGGAGTTTGAGCTGTTCGGCGGGGTGTTGAGCGCGGGGTGATAGGCCTGGGTGTGGCAGTGTTAGCTATGCGACTGCTGGGGTCTGAGGCGGAGACTCACCATCGACGTTCTGGCTCAGCGTGATAAATTGCTCCTTCTTCTTCGCCAGTTCGGCAAGAGCGTAGTGCGCGGGATTGGGCTTGGCTTTGAGGGCCATGTGTCGTCGGTAGCTGTAGAATTGCCACACAAGTCCTGGATCGCGCTCAAAGGCCTGGGGAGTTGCTAGTGAGGTCGCGTCATGCGTCCTCCACATGCCCCCAGCACCTCGAAAAGTCGGTAGTCCAGACGAAGCTGATAGCCCCGCACCGAGAAGCGCGAGAATACGCGTCGACTTGGTCAGGTGTTGCTGGAAGCTCTCGAGGTCCTTGGGCGGAACGACGCTGGGTTGGGCGGCCGACGAGGCCATTCTGCGGATGATGTTGGGCAGCGTCACGGTCGAGGTGGTCTTCTTCGCAGACTGGGCGTGCGAAGAGGAGGAAGATAAGCGGCCGGGCGTGTCATGTGTGCGTTGTCTGTCCGACAGGCAGAAACGGGGGCCTGGAGGTGTTTGCGGGGAGGGGGGAAGCTGCGGCGGTAGTGGCACCTGCAAGGTACGTCAGGCTCCCCCACCAGCGGCCTAGCGCCCACCAGGCCGGGAAACCGATGCCTCTTCCGCCGAAGCTTGATTCGCCCGAGCCAAACCTCCGCCAACGACCATGACTTTTGCCTTAAGATGGCTGCGACCGGCTGCACGCGTGCCATACCGGTGCGATGCTGCGAGACGCGTCGGGCGGGTGCAGCCCAGAGTCGGCGGCACGAGGGCGTATGCGGCCGCTGCTGTGCCCGCCGCTGAACTCCGATTTGGCCAACCGCTCCATGAGACGCATCCACACCTACTCAAGGCTGGGGAAGGTGATGACCGCCCGAGCAACGTCTTACCCTCTACTAACATGCTGCAGTCACCCCCGGTATCACGGCACTCGAGTACCACCAGCGCCGCGCCGCCCTCGCCAAAGAACTGCCCCCAAACTCGGCCGCCATCCTCGCCGCAAACGACCTGAAATATGCGTCCGGCGCCGTCTTCTACAAGTTCCACCAGGACCCAGACTTCCTGTACCTGACGGGGTTTAGAGAGCAGGATGCCGTGGCCGTAATAGAGAAACACGGAGATGGAGAGCACACATTCCACCTGTACGTCCGGCCCAAGGACCCCAAGGTGGAAGCCTGGGAGGGGCCACGATCAGGCGTTGAGGCTGCTGAGGACGTCTTCAACGCCGACGTGAGCGGCAGTATTGACGACCTACCCCGTCTGCTCCCCGACATAGTCAACCGCGCGCAAGCCATATACACAGACCTACCCCAATCCCGCGTATCCAAAAACCTACTATCACGCTACCTCGCCGGCGCAGAGCCCTCACGTACAGGCGGCATATTCAACGTTTTCCGCGACGCACCCGCAAGCGTACGACCCCTCCGCCCGCTCGTCAACGAACTCCGCCTTATCAAATCCGAAGCCGAAATCACAAACATGCGCCGCGCAGGCCAGCACTCGGGCCGCGCCATCACAGACGCAATGCGGCAGTCCTTTACGACGGAAAAGGATCTCGACTCTTTCCTCGACTACTGGTTCAAGCAAGACAACTGCGACGGCCCGGCATACGTCCCCGTCGTAGCCGGTGGCATCAACGCAAACACCATCCACTACGTCTCCAACGACATGCTGCTCAACCCCAAAGAACTCGTCTTGGTTGACGCGGGCGCACAGTACGGCGGCTACGTCACGGATATAACGCGCACATGGCCTGTATCCGGCAAGTTCAGCCCCGCCCAACGCGATCTCTACACCCTTCTGCTCGCAGTACAAAGATCCTGTATCTCGCTTTGCCGCACAGATTCAAACTTCACTCTGGACAAACTACACCATACAGCTTCCAACTCCCTGGCCGCTGGTCTCAAGGACCTAGGCTTCGACATGGATGCCGATGCTATCCAAACGCTCTTTCCACATCACGTGGGCCACTACGTTGGTCTCGATGTGCACGACTCCCCTGGTCTGAGCCGAAGTAGGAAGTTTGTAAAAGGCATGTGTGTTACCGTTGAGCCCGGTATCTACGTCCCCAATGAAGAGCGGTGGCCCAAATGGGCGCGGGGCATAGGCATGAGGATTGAAGACAGTGTTTGTGTTGATGACGAGAGTCCGTATGTCCTCACCACCGAGGCGGTCAAGGAAGTCGTCGATATAGAGGCGTTGAGGGGGACGGAGACGAAGTTGTAAATGGGAATCGTGATATCCGCTTTTGTCTTATGTGATGGAACGTGCTTTGCCATTTGCTTAGTGACAACAAGGGGCAGTAACGCTTACACAAGTACGAATTCTTCTGCACTCGCCTCATCCCAAGTTACTTCTTCGCCGCGCATAGTGCCCTCCAAATAGCACTGGCCCATCAAGCGATAATAACCATTTGCAAGACGACGGAGCACAAGAGGTACTTTCGAGCCGTGGACGACACATACCAAGTCGCCCTCGCAGACCGAACGATGCGCAAGCCCAAGTCTCCAATCGCGTCCTACGATAACCTGTCGGCCCCAAGCTACGCGAGCATGATCACGGAGTTGAGTCGCTTTGATCTTCCATGATTTGGTGGGTTTACATGGCTGAGTATCCTGGAGTGCAGCAAGTGCATGCAGGTACTCGTATGTCTGTAGCAAAACTTTTATGTCGGCGGTAGACATTCCGTTGCGGTTGTGGTCTGATCTTGTTCGGTTGAACACGAATGAGCCATCTGCTAAACACGTTTTTAATATGTGCTCTCTGGATGGTGTAGTACGTCCCTCTGGCCAAATTTCTCGGAGAACATCTACCAAGCGCGCGATGTTGAGATAGGAATGTACGGGCCATTGATGTCGGCTTGTCGCTGGTTCTCTGTCAATCTGGGTAAAGGGTAGTGTATGCGTAACCTCCCTGATTATCTTCCCCCTGACAATCAAGCAGGAAGACGAGATACCATCTCGTTCCTCCGGCCTATGCCGCATCCCGCGCGCGGCGTCGAAGTACATGCAATATTTCGGAAACACAAACGCTTCCGCTTTCAACCGCCGCGACCAGTCTGGGACCCAGGACGGCAGATTCGACAACCACCTAGTTTCGTCGTCGTCCCGCCGGTGTAATACGCCCAAGAGATCCAGACTCTCCGTTGCTTCGACGATGGATCTAGTGACCATAACAGGAACCTCATTCCAATCAATATGGTAATCAGGCAAGATACGCCTATGCGATTCATTCTGCAGCCCAAGAAACGCATAGATAATATCATGCTTATTCGTAGTCCTACACCTCGGCGCAAACAGCGAGAGGGAGTGGTAGAAAGATGGTTTTTCTTCACTGTTACTGCTTTCACCAGCTACTTCCCGCCGTTGGTCTCGCAGGCGCATAACTTCGCTCAGCACGAGGTAGCCCTGTAGCTGTCGTAGACCGACGTAATCCGCGGATGCTATGCGGTCTTCAGAGCTCCTGAAGCGTCGGATAACGGCCCAGAGCTCGTCGATGGGAAAGGTGGAGGAGGCGAGGAAGCAGGTGGCTTTGGGTGGTAGTACGGCTTCTTGCACTACCCAGGCTCTGCTGAACCAAGGTAGGGATAGTAGGGATCGTACGAAGGATTGTTGGCGGGGTATGGAGAAGATGAGATCTTTTTGGTCAGGAGATACATGGTGGCTGTCTGCTGAGGAAAATGAAGACGAGACTAGGAGCTGGGGTGCTACGAATGAGCTGTTTTCCAAGTAATGCGACAGGGATTCGGTGTCTTGAACTTCTTGCCCGAGCCAGATTAAGACGCGTTGGCATCGGCTGTATATCTCGCCCATGAGAGCGACTTGCTGGTTGCGGTCCGGGATGCTTGTTTGGTCGACACATAACTATTAATGTCATGATGGAGTCAGTAAGACACTTCCGTCTGTCTTGTGGGACATTGCCGTACCTGATCAACCCAAAGATAGCCTGTTTGACAATAAGGTCGGATTCGCGTAAGTGTTGTGCGCAATGTAGGCGTGATGAAGACCAACTTCCCCGAGCCCAACTCGAAGACAAAAGATTTATCTTGCTCGCCCCATACATAGGAGATCGTCTCGTACGGGGGCACAGCATCCAGTGACACGTTTATCAGCTCGGGTTCTTCACGGCACTGAGAAGCCTCCGGTAGCTTGAGAAGCCTGATGTGACGTTCCGCAAGAGGTTTGTATTCGTGGTGCGCCATTCCTGAACAGGGCCATGACGATGTGCTATAGCTTGGCAGCCGTAGTCACTGATACTGTGGGCCTGTAATCTCAAGACAGGACTGTTTTAATAATGCTGTTTCGACAGGAACTAAACTTGGCGAGTTGACGATGAGGTTTGTTGCCCGCTGCAGTGGTGGGGAAAAACCGAGTGGGCCGCTAGCGTGCACCTGCTGCGTGTGATTGGTTACCACCGCATGTATTGCATATACAGCGCAAAGTTCACGACTGTCATACTGGTGTTGCTAAATATTGGACCAGTGCACTCGGAGGACGGATGAATGATAGAAATACAGATCTGAAATACTATACATCGCTATGCCTCACGCCATCATAACCTTGGGTTTCCCCATTTCTACCATGCCCTCCATGTATAGAATCTCCCAAGTAGTCTTCTTCGATCCGTGTTTCTACCGTCTTTGTAATGCCTTCAGCGCCAAGTATGGATTCCTCACTTGTGTTGCGAGTACCCCCTACTGGAATCTTGCTAGTTCTCTTTGTTCCGTTGAACGAGTAGAGCTCCATATGTCCCCTTGAACGTGTTCGAACAGTACGGCTGAGCATCTTTGAGTTTGGCCCACCGAGCCCGTAAGAGACTGGGTACTGGCCAGATGAGTTGTGGGATGAGGACATGAATGCCTTGGTAAGAAGAGGTCGGAGCGCTGGGGCGGAAGCAGATATGATAGCTGCGTTTACTTCGATTTGCGAAAGCAAGAGGATCTGTTGCAGCATTAGTATAATTATGGACCGTCAAGGTTGCGACTGGGTTGGTACTTACGAACACATCATCGTATGGTGGATCATCCGTTACAGCGTACAAATAGAGAGCGTACAGCCGAACGATAGAGGCGATCACCGCTACGCCGCCGACCATGAACACACCGAGGAGCGCAAATCGCTTGGTCCGTTGAAGTTTCAGTTGCCCAAAAGCGCGCATCGGCATAACCAGGATGAAAATATCGGTGAGGATGTTCACCGAAGCCATCGAGATATATGTCTTGGCCAGATCGTTACATCCTTTCGGAAAGGTTGGGGACCAGGCTCTCCATGGCTCTCTTCCGCACTCGAAGGCCTGAGGAAGTCAGTCGTAGGCTCAGGGAGGTATATGGCCGCTCAGCGTATGACTTACGTTGACAAATGTGACAACGACTGTCTGGATAGCAACAAAGGCGGCTACACCGTACACGGTATAGCGAAACTTGGTTTGGGTGAAGATTCGATGGTAGAGGGCCAAGATGCTGGCTTTGACGAAGAACAGTGCCCATGGGTACACGAGCTGATACGCATACCTAAAGTAGAGTCAGTCGCGTATTTTCTGTTCTCGTAGCATATATCTTACCAATGTTTGAATGTGGGGATCAAAATGATGGAAGCATCGAGGTCGTCGTTGTGTCGACTTTGTCTATTGTCAGTTGCCATCCGTTGTTCAGACATGGACATACGTACCCAGTCCCCCAGCTAACAAGAAAGCCATTTTGAATACCGAGCGAGACAGAGACGAACCATGCAGCTACCATGAACTTATCATCGAGTCCTATGTGTCGTGTGAAAGTGAAGCGACAGTAAAGCCTTGCGACAGATGAGCCAATGTTCAATGGGTTTATGGGTCAAGAATCTAGGGACCTCACCTGAGAGCTACCGCTATCGTTGCGAAGAAGAGTAAAACGCCAGTCGTAATGACAAACATAGGCTGTCGCGAGCCATTGTCCCAAGTGATACCATAGCCACCGTCTGCCATGTTGTTGGTATGCACTCACATCAGGAAGATCTGGCATGATGGGCACGAACCATGACTATGAATGATGACAACTTCTCCTTGAACATGCCCAGCCGTGTCGCGAAACGACATCACCCAACAGCTTCATCTTGCAAATCCTTCTGATATTGCATGCCGCATTTCCAACAGGACTGAATGAACTCCTCCCTCGGCGGCTAATTTCTCCGAGCCATCATTGGATGGTCGAAGCGGCTGGAGGGCGACAGAGTGCGAAGGATTTGCGAGTTCGGTGCGACTGTCCTGCTTCGGTCATGGTGGATGTTGTTGATGCGGCTCTTCGCTCCGAACAGTCTAGCCTGCCTCGGCTATCTGCGAGGCGGAACTGGACTGACCCGCGCGCTGTCCCCGTTCCCCAGCCGAGAGCCGGTACCCAGAAGAGCAGCGCGAATGAAGACGAAGGGTCCTGGGATGAAGGAACGCTCCGTTGTCACCTAGACCAGGGCTTTCCAGCAGCTCCGTGCCGTGCCTTCTCTTCCCAGCATCTAATCCCGTTCGCCACCATTGACCCTATTTTTTCCCGTCAATCGCCAACAAGAACACTTGGGCATGTTGGAGTCCTTCCAATCAATGCAATCGTTGAACACACGACTCAGACGTTGATTGTGCCGCAGCGCGGAGGCGGGCCAAACCGACCCGGGGGTTCACCCGTCCCTAGCCCACATACCTCATCGCGACGGCTTTGCTGCTTGAGCAAAGACACGCATTGGAGAGCGAAACACCGATAGAAACAATACGTCTCCTATCAGCTGCTTTGTTCCGAACTCAAAGAATCCCATGTTACCGCCAACACGACGGATCGAAAGGATGAGGGGAGAAAACACGCATCCATCTTAGCTATCTCGGCAACGACCTCTTGGCTATGCAAGGTAAATCCTACAGGAATCTCCAGACCGGCCCACCGGCCACAATCATCCGAAATTGTTGTATGCTTCAATGCTTAGGCAATCACAGAACGTGCGTTTCCGCTTCAAACTGGTCTGGCCATGCCATCACATCTAGGTAGTAGACCGTGGGCGCGCATGGGCAACTCAAGGGAAGAACGTCAATAAGGGCTTCCCGTGTAGAGCGGCTCCGAACCAATCGCCTCCGGTTAAGCGCCACATGGGAGGAATACGAGCCGTCCAAGCTCTCGGTAGCTCACATTTGACGGGACATGCACTAGCCACGCTACGTCTTCCGCTCGGGACATTTCCTTAGGCCCAACGGACGCTGAGAAGCCATGGGAATTTACAACAAGAGCATCCCATGCAAAGAAGAGCTTGAATAGTTATAGCCTGCGATGGCATGTGTACAGCTAGGTATCTGGATAACTCGATGGCTACGCAGATCTCTGCGCCGCACACTAACGCATGTAACATTTGATTAGCAGGTACACATTCAACTTTTCCTTGCATGCGGCGCGGCTGCATGTCTCCTGAATCGCCATGCATACAGGAATTTTCCAGGCCCCGGACATCGCCCCAAATCCCACAACGTAGGGTCCAACGTCCCGTTCTTATTCCCAATGCTCACGTCCATTCGCCACTCACTGCCCTTTGCTCTAATTTTGATAGCGTTCATGTCGTTCGATGGGTCTTGCACGGGTAAAATGCGTCTGATAAGGCCTACAATGAGCCGCACATAAAGCTTGACGCCCACCATCTTTACAAGTCTTCAGGGACCTCAAGACTCCGCCTTCGAACAATCTGAAACACATAGCTGCGCATTTCAACTTCAACCGCAAATATGGTCAAGATCAACGTCCTCATCTCTTCGCTCTGCCTGGCTTCGTCAGCAGTAGCAGCGGCTCTTCCTGCAACTGCACCCAAGACTTGCAAGAACCCCATCAAGCGCTACGAATGGTAGGTCGTACACATCAGAAACACGTCTGAAACTCTACTAACCACCTTCCTTTTAGGAAACAACTGTCAATCCCCCAGAAGAAGGCCTACATCGACGCCGTACTTTGCCTAGCGTCCAAGCCCGCCATCTCCGGCATCGAAGGCGCCATCAACCGTTTCGACGACTTCCAAGCCGTGCACAGCAGCCAAACACCCGACATCCACTGGGTCGGCCACTTCACACTCTGGCACCGCTACTTCGTCGCGACCTACGAAAAGGCTCTGCGCGAAGAATGCGGCTACACCGGCGGCCAACCCTACTGGAACTGGTCTGCGGACGCGGAGCCCCAAAACCCCACATCGACACGCATCTTCGACTCTGAGATCTGGCAGCCAGACACCGGTTTCGGTGGCAATGGTGTCAAGGTCAACCCTACACCTGAGACAAACCCGTTCGGTGTTGAGGGTGGTACAGGTGGTGGATGTGTGACGAACGGTCCTTTCACACCCGACAAGTTCATGGTCAACTTCCCGGAGCCTCACTGCCTGAAGCGCGATTTCGTGCCTACCCTCATCAACGTGTGGGCCGATCAGAAGCTCGTCGACAAGGTCATGGCTTCCAAGGACTACGCTGGCTTTGCTCGTGCGGTCGAGGGCGAGGCTACCTTCGCCGTGGGCAACATCCACGGCAGTGGCCACTTTGGTGTTGGCGGTGCTTTGGGCCAGGCTGGTGATGCGAACAACAGCCCCGGCGAGCCAGTATTTTACCTCCACCATGGCAACATCGATCACATCTTCTCGATGTGGCAGCAGAAGGACCTGAAGAACCGCCTTCACCAGGTTGGTGGTCCGATCATTCCTTTCGATTACAGTGGCAAGAATGTTACTCTTGACTTTGAAGTTGGTCTGGGCAAGCTCGCGCCCACTGTGAAGTTGAGGGACCTTTTGGACACTCAGGGCAAATTGCTTTGCTACACTTACTAGAGAAGGTAGCTGAGCTGAACACTTCATGTGTATAGTTAATGAATAATATATCATCCAAACACGTTTTTTGTTTCTATCTTTTTGTCTTAATATACACCAACGAAGTTGCAAGCAGTTACTGCCTGTGAAAGAATAAGGAAGCCCAAGTAATGAATGGCAGAATGTGGGAGGCTTTGGTGGAGTGATATTCAAATTCCAATAGTATCATTTCGTATCTACCTACACACAAAGACATACCTCACCGTCTAAGCGGACTGCGGAAGCCCATACTACCAAACTGACTACCCCCCTTCTTCGGTGTCGTCAATGGATCCGGGACTTCCCCGCCATAACTCCCGCTCACAGCCCTATGTCCCTGCCCGCCATTCCCGATAGCCCTTCCACCACTACCCGGCGCCTTGAATCCCACCAAACTGCCCTTGGCATAGACGTCATTCAACATCTGTTCCAACACGCCCGCATCATCAAACTCCTGCCACTTTCTCCACAGCTTCAGCGCCGTCGTCGCATCCTCGATGGAATCGTGCGTATCCTCTTGGATGCTCTCTTTGAGTACACACCAAGCCAGGAACTTCAAGTTCAGTTTTCGCTTGAAGTCTGGCTTGAACCAAAGGTTGCTTGTGTCGACGACTTGGTTCTTGGGGACGTGGATGTTGATGGTGCGGAAGTCGTTGGCAAGTGAATGGCCGACGAAGACACATCCTAGATTGAGTAGCAACCATAACTTCTTGTAGGCGTGTTTCAGGGATACTGGCGCGTGTGGAGAGGTTTCGCGGCTGAGGTCGCCCGGAGATATACCAGACCATTCGGTGAGGTAGTCGACAACTTGCTCGGTTACAGCGATGTAGTCATCGATGAAGGGAAGGCCTGCCTGCTCTCCTTCGCCACGACATACGGAAACTCGAGCTAGGCCCTTGCGATCAGGACGGATGGTCTGGCGGGTGCCATCAGCCTTCATTTCGATCTCTTCAGCTTGAAGGCGGATGAACTCGGCATCGATAGCGACTGGGTAGCCAGGGCGTGGCTCTTCTGATGAGTGTTGAAGCAGCTTAAATTTCTCTTCGGGAGGCGTTGGATTAGACGACCACCACCTGTACAGAATGGAAGTGTCAAGGTTTTGTTTCCACGAGTCGTCGATCTTGTTACGGGCAGACTTCAGCTGGAAGGTCAGGACAGACGGAAGCTTCCAACTTGTATCGAAGCGTAGAGCCTCCTCTTTGGGGATTGGTCTCACCAGGAAGTCGTTAAAGAGATGCCATCTGTCTTCTAAATCCTCTTCTCGTGACGAAGGTGCGGTGTTGATGGTCGCTACCAGGTGAGGCTTCTGACGCTCGCCGCTGTTGATATCCGCGACGACTCCAACAAGTTCATAAACCATGATCTGATGCACCCCGCGTTGCAGGTGTAGCTTCAGGTCTTGGCCTTCGAAACAGTAGAATTGACCTTGATCTACTATGATCCCGATCTCTTGCGGAAGCCAATTGGGTGTCGACCACAACAACTTGGCTTCATGGCTTTGTATGGCAGCGTTGAGCATCAACACTCCAGGTACTGACTGGATCGTCTTCCGCTGTACCATCTGCTGGTAACGGTTGCACTTTGTACACCAACCCCGAGTTTGATCTTGCCGCTCGACGCTGGCTTTCAAGATCTGTGAGAAGGTCGGACGTGCTATTCTAGTGTTCCTCATCACCTGCTTCGCAGGGTATACGAGCTCATTGACGAAGTTCTTGCCTCCACGGATGGTTTCGTTATTGCACTGCGCACATCTCATGCTCGCTTTTGCTTGGGTTTCCAGTACTTGATCCATGGCTGAAGGCCCAGTGTGCCCTGGAAGCATTTGTCGGAATTCTTCGGAAACCTTGTCTAACAGAAAGCGGTTGAGGTTCTGGATCATAGTGGTAAGTGCAACGTTGGGAGCAAATTCTTCAAGCAGATTCAGTGAAACTGCATTCGAAAGGCCACTGAAGGTCTTCAAGAAGTTAGATGCTTGACAGTTGAGCCCAGCCGCCTTTTCGAGCATATCGATGAGAAACCCCAGTTCGCAAAGAAGGCAAGACTCAAAGAGGCATGGCGAAGCAGTGTGTTGCAGAGCAAGATTTCGTAGCAGCGGCGTAAATCGGAAGAGTTGCAGAAGTGAATTGGCGTAAGAGTTGG